AGGCGTCGTTATCTCTCCGCACCTGCATTCCCGTCCCACCGATAGAGGAGTTCAGTACGCGGCCTGCTCCGTGGACGGTGTGATCGCGAGTGCAGGAATACGACATCCACTCCATCTTCACCATGAGCTCCACATCCTTCAAGCCCTATGTGGAATTCTACAACAAACAACGGATGCCCATCGTGGGATTGGGCACCTGGCAGGCAAGTGTCCTCCTCACTCCAATACTGCATTTTCAAGGGGAATCTCGTATCTCCCACTTCATCCAGGACTAACTTTTTAAAATGGTATTCTTCCATTTCTCGTTATTGTTATTATCAATATCGTTTTCATATTTTATACAGTCGAGCGATGAGGAAATGGAAAAAGCCTTGGATACAGCCCTTGAAATGGGCTACAGGCATCTCGACACGGCCTACAATTACCGAAACGAGGCCTCCATCGGTCGAGTCTTGAAAAAGTGGATCGACAGCGGAAAAGTGAAGAGAGAAGAGCTTTTCATCGTTACCAAGGTTCGTGCCCTTGTCCCTTCCCCTTCTTCCAAGTCTGCTCGAGTTTCTCCCAAAGACCGTTTTTCTTTGTGGGGTAGCTGCCAATGATAGGGAACCAGAAGGACAAGGTGGCCGTATACCTGCAGAAATCCCTGACAGCCTTGAACTTGACCTACGTGGATTTGTATCTGGTGCACGGTCCATTCGGACTCAAGGATAACGGCGATGACAACATTTTCCCCATGGACCCTGATGGCACCATACAGCTCGATCTCACCACTGACCTCGTGTCTGTTTGGAAGGCAAGAAAAACCCGATATTTTCAGCGAAAAGGTCTCTCAGTAAGATTAGAGAGCAAAGGAAAGATATAATTTTTCATTTGTCGCTGCAGGGGATGGAGGAGCAGGTGGATGCCGGCCGAGCGAAATCCATCGGGATCAGCAACTTCAGCGAAGAACAAGTGACGAGGATCGTGAAGAATGCCCGAATCAAACCGGCCAACATTCAAGTGGAACTGCATGCCTATTTCCAGCAAAAGCCTCTTCGGGAACTGTGCAAGAAGCACGACATTACCGTCGTCGCCTATGGGCCGTTGGGATCACCCGGAAGAGTGGCCTTCTACGAAAAGCTCGGAATGTCTAAAGACCAGTAAGCCAAATCCTAGATTCTGTCCATAGACGCATAAGATGACCCAGGTTGGAAATATAAGCCTGATGAAATGGCTTTTGGAAACCAGTGCGAAGGTCCCGGACCTCCTCCAAAACCCGGTGGTGAAGAAGATAGCCCGTGAGCATCACGTGACAGAAGCGCAGGTGCTTCTCCGTCACCTGGCTCAGTCTGGCATCGCCGTCATCCCCAAGTCCTCCAACCCTTCCAGAATCCAACTCAACTATCAGGTCCCACGCCTTCCTCTCTCCATCACGAAAACATTCGATGCAGGCAGTTGGACTTTTCTGTCAATTTTTTCGTCCTCTTATGTAGATTTTCAACTTCGAGCTGAGTTCGGACGAAATGAAGCAGCTGAATGATTTGGATCAGGGTGAAGCCGGTAGAACATTCTTCTTCGAATTCAAGGGGTCAGTTCGCATGACGACTATTCTCTCCACGGAAACTTAATTTTTTTTTGCTTCGTTTTTTATTACGTCTGTATTTTATGATTCTCCAGCGTTGAAGCTCATCCGGAGTTCCCCTTGAAGGACTGGGCGAAGAAGGTGAAGCTCTGAAAAGATGTATCCGTCTCTCCCGGGGAAAATGAAGCTAATTCACATGGTCCTCATCAGGCTGAACGTGTTCTTTCACGACTAAGTAGTGCAGCGAGACCTTCTGCTTTCAAGCATTCAATTTTAATCGGAGTTTAATTTAGGGGGAAAGTTTTTCACATCCACATCGACGTCTTGTTTCCTGTATTTGTGAATTGTGGCCATGGAGTGATTTGAACACTTATTGGAATTCATGTGCTCCACTGAACTCCAAAGGGAACTTCAGTTGTATCTGCCTCCTTCAAGCATTAAATGAAATTGATTAAGCAACGCACTTTCATTTGCCACCCGTCCTCATTTCCTCGGTTCTTCGTCCAGAATAAGCCCCCTAGTCTTTCTTCCTCCTCCCGTTGATCGAAGAGGAAACATGAACATTAAAAAGAAATTATTGGGGACAAGTCTCCAACCACAGTTGTGCCCCGTTGGAGGTCCTCTTTGCCTTTGAGACATGACTAATCGGAAATGTTGCCATCGTTCCTGCAGGTCAATACAAGAAACAACGCCGCGATAGGAGTTGTCCCTGTTGCCAGGTCAGGATTTTTTTTTATTTAGGAAAAGAATGCGACCTTGTGTTGCCTGCACCCCCCTTTAAATCCCAGTTGCACACTCATTCGTCCCCATTCAGGGACATCCCCAACTCACTCAACGACGCTTGTTTCAACGGATATATCCACACTCAAGCTCCTCCTACTCTGAGTGGGCACTTGTGAAGATAAGGAGGGGTCACTTTCAAGTCATCTTAAGATTTCCACGCATGCAGGACTCTTTCGGTATCCGCGTGCGAAGGGATTCCAGATCCAAACTCTCTCCATCGTGTGCTCTGGCTCCACGTCCTTCAAGCCGATAGAGGAGTATAGAGTACGCGTCCTGTCCCGTGGACGGTGTGATCGCGAGTGCAGGAATACGACATCCACTCCATCTTCACCATGAGCTCGACATCCTTCAAGACCTATGTGGAATTCTACAGCAAACAACGGATGCCCATCGTGGGTTTGGGCACCTTTGCAGACAATTCCCTTCACATTCGTAGAATATCATATAATGCCAGGAAAATTAAGTATCACTCATCTTCCACATACCCGGCTGATTATTCTTATTGCACTTTTTCTTAATTATTAGCATTGGAGTTCTCGAAATCGTTTTCTTCAACATCATTATTGTTTCCTGTAGTCAAGCGATGAAGAAGTGGAAAAAGCCTTGGATGCAGCCTTCGAAATGGGCTATAAGCACATAGACACCCCCTACATTTATCGAAACGAGGCCGCAATTCAGAGATCGATGCTAAAATGCTTCCTTGAAGGGGATGGAGGAGCAGGTGGATGCCGACCGAGCGAAATCCACCGGGATCAGCAACTTCAACGAAGAACAAGTGGCGAGAATCGTGAAGAACGCCCGTATCAAACCGGCCAACATTCAAGTGGAACTGCATGCCCATTTCCAGCAAAAATCGCTTCGGGAACTGTGCGAGAAACACGGGATCACCATCGTCGCTTAAGGGCCGTTGAGGTCACCCGGAAGAGTGGCCTTCTACGAAAAGCTCAGAATGTCTAAAGACCAGTAAGCCAAATCCTAGGTTCTATCCATAAAAGCTTGAGATGGCACTGAGGTTCGAATATAAACCTGACGAAATGGCTTTTGGAAACCAGGGCGAAGGTCCCGAACCTCCTCCAAAACCCGGTGGTGAAGAAGATAGCCCGTGAGCATCACGTGACAGAAGTGCAGGTGCTTCTCCGTCACCTGGCTCAGTCTGGCATCGCCGTCATCCCCAAGTCCACCAATCCTTCCAGGATCCAACTCAACGACCAGGTCCCACGTCTTCCTGAACTAAGAAAACGTGCAGGTCATTCTGCAACCTACTATTGACTTGTTCATTGCCATGCAGATTTTCAACATCCAGCTGACTTCGGACGAAATGAAGCAGCTGAATGATTTTGATCAGGGTGAAGCCGGTAGAACATTCTTCTTCGAGTTCGAGGGGTCAGTCCATCAATGGAGCATTTGCCTCTACGTACCTGCGTCGCGTTAACGCCTCTCTATTTTGCGCTTCCGCAGAATCGCCGCTCGTCCGGAGTACCCGCTCAAGGAATCCGCAGAGTTGTCAGTCCAGTATTGAGTAACCGTTGCTAAAAAAAAAAAAATAAAGGCACTTTATCGCGTCCTCTTCAATGTTGGCGTCGCATTTCACACTTCTATCTTCACCCTCGTCACCTGTACGCAAACGCGCGAACGCGCGGAGAAGGGAGAATACGTTGATATTCCGATCTCTTCGTTTTTTTTTTTTCTCACAGCAGACAACGAAGCCACATAAATAATGCGAGGGACAAAAACGGGGGAAGACGCGAGAGACGGATTTAGAGTCCCGTAAATCAGGGTTTGAGAGACCGGCTCGATGAAAGCGAGACCGTAGGAGTGAGAGGTAGATAAAGGGCATTTTTAGGTGGATAAAGGGCATTTTCGCGCTTCAACGAGGGCTTTATTCATCGCAACACCGATATGCCTACCTCTTTTTGGGCCATTCTTCCGAGCGAAGGACATCGATGATAAAGGGGCGGAGGGGTGGAGTGCCTTCTCAATTGAGCCGATTTGTCGTTCCTTCTCCCCCCACCCCCCACCTCCCCACCCCCTCTCCCCTCCCCCCTCGTTTCTTCTCGTTCTTCGCATGCCTGAAAAAAACGGATTCTTTGCATTC